TGAATGAATATTTCCTGAGTACTCACTGAGTAACAATACTCAGAAATTGTTAGTAGTACCAATATGAGTACTCATGGACGAATTATGAGTAAAGTCGTACTCATCGTATGAGTACTTCCACTAGGGACAGTGTTTTGAAGCATTCTGATCTCGAAAAACATTAAGTCGATTGTGCAGTAATGTCGTACAACAAAACTAGTTTTCAATGATAAATTCATTATTTTTTCTTGAAACTTTTAACACGATAACAAAATATGAAGGTCACCCATGGGCTGCATACTCTACTAGTCAGTGGCGGATACAGGAAAAATTTTCGGTGCTGACGGATTTTGACAAAAGAGCAAGTTTAACAACTTTGCTTAGGAGTTTCTAAACGACACTTTTACTTCTTTTACTTTATTACTATGCTGCACAAGAAGGAGAGTATAATAGTATGAAATCAAAAATTTCGGTGCTAGCAGCCGCCAGCACCGTCAGAACCCTAAATCCACCACCGCTACCAGTTTAGGTTGGAAAATGGCCTACAACAGAGACTTTTAACGTAAAAGCATGTCAATCGCGTTTTCTAATATTTAAAGCTACAGGTAAGGATGCAAGGAGTATGAGACCAGCTTTCAAGTGCGAAAACAAATGTAAGAAATCCGTTCATGATGAATTTCTGTCAAACTGTTTTCGCCACATTATAAAGATTTTTATGGAAGAGGGTGGAATTCGACATGAAAGCAGCTACTGGACCCACACACAGTTGTAAAGTTCTTATCGCAGCTCAGTATTTACTGTTTTGTCAAATGTGTAGCTGAAAATCGAAACAGAAATGATCTCGTTTTTTATTTACAAAATGTCGGAATTATACCAAAGCTGAATTATGACAATGACCCATTGCCAAAGTTTCTACGAGAGCAGTCTCAACAAAACGTGAAATTTTTATTTTTTTTTAAAAAAACGGTAAAAAACACGTTTGTTTTAAATCGCTTTTTGACAAAGAATATTCATCTGATGAACCTAAAACTACGTTCAGATACAACCAAAAATAAAACGAAGACCAACGCGTTTTTGTTCAGAAGCGTTTAAACGGGTTTTCTTCTCAAAAGTCAAGAAAACGGAAGGAAATGTCAGTATTTTTTCTTCGTTTCTAATCGTCTGTGACAAAATCACGTTTTTCCAGTTTTTTCTATAAAAAAAACGCGTTTTTCACAAGCAGTGAACGCGTTAGCATGTTTTACAGCCTAGAAAAAAATTAGATCAATCGAAAGAATCAAGTCCGAAATTCGGTCTGCAGATAGTGGATTTTATCCATCTTTAAACGATCGCCATGCCTTGAAATTCTATTACAAGACGTCTAAAATCTGGATATCATAGCCCAATGATTAATCTAGCTTTGTTACAGTATGCCAACAGTCTTTCTGTTACAAGCGAACCTTGATCGCGTGGAAGAATAGTAAATATGAATAGAAAGTTAGGTTATCGACCATTCTGCATCTCATAGCAATATTTCTTCGTACCAAAGAGTAAGACAATCTGTAATGAATGAGTTTTTTCGTGCATATTTTAGATGTTTTTATATATGACAATGATACCGTTTCTTATTAAATTCTTCTTCTCGAACTCTTTTGTATGGGGATTTTTCTACTTTTGTAAACGAAAAACACCATTCATACTATCTTGAGCAGTATAATTGCTTGATTTCTTTTCAAGGACAATTTGGACGTCGTGATAAAAAAATCTGACTGGTGTGCGTGAAGCTGTCACTCTTTATGTACTTTCCTGCTTACAACCAGACGCCTACTTTCTGATTTTCAGTTCTCCTAGCGCATAGTTTTAGAATATTATAATCTGATTTATATTGCTTATATTTTGCAAACATAAAGCCTGTATCATCATATCACATAGCACGTTTAGTTTTTTCACATCTTTTTGCTCAATTTATAAATTATGGTTATAATTTCTATATTTTATTGTTCATTTTTTTTCGGTGCAAATTTATCAGAGCATCAAGTTAATCATTTATACAAACACATTATTTGACAGCACATTACAAATTATTGGAATTACAATAAAAAAGAAAAACGAGAGAACATGCGAGCCAACAAAAATAACACAAAGAAAAAGAGAGAAAGAACACAAAAAAGATTCAAAAATGAGAAAAATGAATTTTATGCAATAATACACTGTTCATGATCAATGGACACATCAAATATACAATATATATGTAGGAAACAGTTTGAATTTATCATGTTGATATTTCATCGTTTTCATCATACATCGGCAGTATTTTAGGACTTCTTCGAGCAGCAGCCTAAGAAATAACAATAGCTGATAATTATTTTGAGGACACATTATCTGAGGAGTCTCAATCAGTTTAGAAGCGATTCAAGTTATACATCTTTACTTCTGAAGTTAATCAAACTTTTAGTCAGATTTTCTGTGCTGATTCAAACTTCTAATCGTCTAATTATACTTACCAAACGTTTTGAGCGGCGAGCTTTACGATCAGTTATTGGATTATTTGTTTTATTTCTTCCTAATATCTTGGTCGTATAGGATGAGTTCGGTGTTGATGTCATTTGCTAAACAAGACCAAATAAAATAAAATTGTATTACTAGAAAATTATCTCTAATTACCTTTAATTCACCATTAACATTTTTCAACGTGGATAATTTTGAAAAATCGAGTGAATTGTTGTGACCATGTGGTGTAGCGGAAATGTCACCGTTGAAACTATAGGCGGTAATCAGTGGAGCAGAAGGCGCCGCTGGAGCACGTGGTGTAAATTTTTTATTACCACTTTTCGGTTGTTGTTTCATTTTTTTGATTGTCTTCATACTTTTTCGCATTGGTGTTTTACTCTGCGTTCGTACGGACATTGTTGACGGTGTTTTAACTATAGTTGAGGGAGTTGACACTGGGGTTGTCAAAGGTTTACGACCCGGCTATATATTAAAAATGATAGTTCATTCAGATATATTTTTTACAAAATCTTTTATGTACCTCAAAGTGATTGAGATAGCTTACTTACTGTTTTAACCGCTGAATTTGCATTTTGTTGAGTACGTGTAGTTGTTACCGTTGTTGGTGCCGATGGAGCTATTTCATCGTGTGCATCATTATAAAGTTTTCTTATTGGTACATCATTGAGAAGAAACTCATCATTATCGTCATCCAACATATCGAGAAATGCTTTTTCAATTTTTGGTAATTCAGTTTGAAATTTTTTTCGTTTTTGTTGTTCCACCATCGGATTATAGCCACGTTCATGAAATCGTGCTGAACTCTTTGACCATTTCTTTATGAATACAAAAAAACATTATACATTAATTAAAAGCAAAAAAAAACAGATTTTCTTACATCAAATGTAACATATTCCGTCCAAAATTTATTCCAAGTTTCATAGGCATCGACAATTGGCTTTCGTTTTTGATATAATTCTTGTACACGAATATATTCTTGATCATACATATCGAGTACTTCTGGCGATAAAACTTCTAAAAACAAAATGAGTAGAAGAGACAGATGTTTCGCATTTCACTAACATACCAAAATCAATAATGTCCATTTTCTGTCGTTCAGAATTACCCACTTTGCATTTGTCATATAATTCTATTATTTTTGAACGAACTGTTTGACAATATTCTTTTCCATTTGACATTCGTATTTGACGACAACATTGAATTTCATGATCAAGCTATAAAAATGAACAATGTAATAATGTTAACATGAAAATAATCAAAACAGAAAAAGTAAACTCTTTTCTTTTAGATTATCTTTTGCTGTAATAGAATGGAAGCTTAAACATACTTGTTTGATTACATCTGCATTAATTTTGTTCGATTTATATGCTGAACAATAATCTTGTTCGAGAATATTCAATGCATTATATAATAATTTTAATGTTATACGCAATGAATGAAAATGTTCTTTTTGATTTTCGATTTGAACTTCCAGCTAAAAGAATATTATAACAAGTTTAGGTTAACAATCAGTACCTCTATTTTTCACATGTGTATTACTTCTTGAATCGTTGTTTCTATTTCCTTTATACTATCTGCTGTTAAACATTCATCATATTTTTCATTTAGTAAGTGTTCAATTGTTGAATCAGACTGTGGACACCATTGTAATTGTTCGGAATATAACTTTACTTTTAAATAATATGATTTAACGATAGTTTCACGAGATGTCTAAAATACAAGTAGTGAATAAATACGTTTTTTCAATCGGATGGCTAGGATTCTCAGCACGATTAGCTTCGAAGTAGCTCGTCAGACGAAACAGAGAGAAACGGAAACTTATCCGTCGTATTTAGCTAAGTGTAATATCTGTTCCACTGACCATATACAACCTATAAATAACGAGACATCAACTTACTTTTAAATCATTAAGTTTTTGCACGAATTTGTTCAACTTTTCTATATTTACCATCAATGAGCATGCTTCATCTATTTGCAAACAGAGGAAGTCTAACAATTATAATTAAAAGTAAGAGTATGAAGTTTGTCTTACTTTTATCCATTTCTAATGGTGATGAGTTTAATATCTCGCATAACGATGTTTGTTTCCTCAATAAATGATCTAATTCACGTAGAAGTTGTTCTTCTTTTAAACCAATTGATTGCAATTTTTTCTCAATATATATTTCTTTCTCTTTTAATTTCATATGTTCAAAACAACCCTGAAAAAATACTGTTTAGTAATATTCAATTTTATCATTAATTTACACTTACTTCAATATCACTTTGAAATCCTGTACGTAGAAGAATATCTTCGTAATCAGCTAATGATTCTTTTAATAATTTTTCGCGTTTTGTTACTTCTTCATCAAACTTTTTTTCACACCGATCGTACATTTGCTGGAAAAAAAGACAATAAATACATGAAAAATACAGTCATGAATGAGTGAAGAAACACTTACATTGCTCCATTCAGCTACTTTACCACCACGTGCATTCCATTGCTTGCCTGTAAAGCCGAATGACGACCATAAACTAGTCCATTGTTTTAATACTTCATCACTGATAACTTTGTCGTCTGAATCTGTTATCTGAGAAGTAACAACGGTATTTCTTCTTTAAAAACAAATGAAAGTTCAATAATGTTGGTTTTTAAAAAAATAAATAAAGCTAATTCGAGTGAGATACATACGTTTGTTTAACAAGAGTATTGCGTTGTTGTTTCTTGGTAATACTTGGTCTCGGCATTTTTAAAATTCTAAAAAATGTGGACCATTTAATTATCATTCGATACTTAACTAACAAGATTTTTAGAAACAGAGGAAACAATACGAAGAGATACATCTTTTGTGACTTTCTCGTCGTGTTCAACGAAGAAATCCACCATTTACAAGGAATCAGAGCTCTTTCTACAGAATGCAATTTCACTCACAATAAATAATTTTGTTTATTAAGAGCAACGTGCTTTTTGTAAAGCAAATAAAATACTATAGAAAGTTGTACTGCAGAATCGTAATTCCTACAGAGTAGAAATGAATTTATCAACGTTATCTTCGTAAAAAACTCAAAAAAACATCGAAATTCTCTAATTCCTTTGCTGCGAAGATATTTGGCTCTAATTTCTTCTCTAAACTAGAGTCAAACTCGTTCGTTTTTTCCAGTTTTAGGCAATAGTATCGTTTCATTTCATCCTTATAGCAAATGTAAATCGAAAAATCATCTTGTCAACCCTCGTCACATTTTATTTTTCCACATCGAGTGAAAAGTTTTCTTAAATCACTTGTTTTAGGTTAAATGTAGAAAAGTCTTCAAAGGATTTAAAAATTCCACCAAAAGTTATATATTCAAGATTTCATTTAAGAATTAATGTTTTTCGAATAGCTCTTTTCTTTCTACTCGTCGCCAGCATTTCTAAAAGTTTGCAAAATGTAGTTGTATACTTTGTTTTCAAAATGTGAGTACACGATGTACACATTCTCTGATAAATCCTTTGTAGATGAAATAATGGCAGAAAACAAAAACAAAACTATGCCGTTATACAGACAATATCAATTATTAATTGTTTTTACTGCTCATTCAGAAAGCTAAAAATTAAACTGTTTTCCTTTGCTCTTCGTTTTACCGTAATGATTAGCACAGTTAATTATTTTTGGTTTTTTGGGTTTACTCAGGACAGAATTAGAGCGGAATGCGAACTGATTTTGTGGATCATTTCCGATGAGAATAAATATTGTGTACGATCTCTATGAAGAACGCCTTTAGAATAAGTCTGAAAAAATGTGAAGCTCTACAAAGCGATCAAGCGAAATTGGCCGTTTGGGTTTCTTACTGGAATTCTCTATAACATTTTAACGATTTCAACAAAACATTTTTGTCATAGAGAACTAAATGAAGCGAAGGAGCGTGTGGGCAATATCGCAAAATTCATGCGGCGACAACTGAGTTATGTCATTTTTACAAATTTCGATAACAGCACACTTTTGTATACTAAATCAGTTTCTTTAGTGCTACAACTGTTTCGCTAAAAACAAACGGTTAGTTCATAATCAAATAAGGATTTAGATTGAGTTATGTTGTACTGAAATAAAAAAATGAGCAAATGAGAGAAGAGGGATAGATCAATTCATTGATTCGTAACTATCCCTCAAGAAAAAAAGTCTTAAAGCGCACAGAAATTGGTAAAAACAAAATATAGCTATCTCTTTTCCTTAAAATGTATAAAGTGAACTTCTTTTTTTTTTTGAACAAAGTGTAAATAACAATTATACAGACACTAAGCTGTATGATTTGTTATTAGAAATGCTACTCGTCGTTTTTTTGTCGCGCGAAACAAAGAGCGTAGCCATATTAAAGTTTCTTTGTTGGAAAACAGGACAACATTTGTTTCTATAAAAATTATCATAACTTTATTGTTAGCTTTAATTTATGATCTCGGTGAATAACATTTAATATACAAACAAAGTAAGTTTTTATCTATAAAAGCCAGAGATAAGTCTGGTGAGCAGCGACATCTATGTCAGTTTGCGTAAGCTGTAGCTTGATATTTGTGATAAAATTACAGGAATCAAGTTATATGATCTCGGATTATTTTTTCATTAAAGAGCAAGTACTATCACTATCCGATGAGGTGTTTTTGATGATCGGCTAATCGGTCCGTCACAGTGCCGTCAAAAAACAAAAAACCTGATAGCATGTAACGTTAGATTTAATTCGTTGTTGATCGTGGAAAAAAAATAATAATGTTTGTTTAGGTGTACACGTTACAATCGTCTCATCTAGGAGAAGTGTTTGGTAGATCTTCATACTTGATCAGACCAGTAACCAACTAATCAAACTGCACGCTGTCGGTAGAGACTATAGTATAGTAGTCATTGTAGAATAATTTAATCACAAAAATATTTGGATGGATATGTAATTGCATGGTTTGTTGGTAATTCTTTCTCTGCACTCAACTGAGAAGAGAAAAAAAGCACATTCTTTAGTGTATGACTTTTGCCTATTGTATTGAAATATCGCTGAAACAAGAAATAATCATTAGCAAAAGCAATGGCGTAATTACTGGGAAGGAAGAGGAATGCTATTTGAGCCTTGGCCCAATAAGATTTTAAACTTTGAGATTTTCTCAGCTGAAAATTTGAAAAAAGATCTTTTGGCCCAGTCTTTTCTCGAATTATTATAGTGTGTCCCAGCTGTTTTTTCGAACTGGTGGAGATGACTCAATGATAAAAAAATCTTAGTTACGTCACTGAGCAAAGGATGAAGTTCGGATGTTTGGTACACATCATGCTTTTCTAAATTTAGCAATTGAGTTGCGTAAGACATAAAAACACAATAAAGTAGAGTATGCTAAAAGTGACGCATAAGTTATTAGCATGAACGTATAGTTACAGCAATTTGTCTAGCTTTAATGCATGGAGTATTTGATCGATCCAATGTTGACTTAAAGTTGTACAGAGAGTTTAGTTCGCTTGGTTACAACACTGTCAGACAACATCTCTAGAGAATGTCCAGATTACGTGGTTATACTGTGAAAAAAGAAATGCCCCTCGGGCAATGAATGAGACGCTTAAAATAAACCACAGTTCGACACTTTTTTCGATGAGACACATTTTTGTGCTTGAAGTGTCCCGAGCAGAGCATTTCTCGCCAACCAGGATAAGAAAATAGAAATAGGTGGAAAGAAGATCTCTAAGTAAAGACTGGCATTCTGTTTACCTCATCAGGCAGTCTGAACATTCTCTAGGGTACTGATCCCCGTTCAAAACTAATTCGATCGCCTTAATTAGATTGATAGATAGCTTAAAAATATTCACATTTGACTTATATTCTTTATGCTATATTTAGTAATCAGATAAAATTGAACTAGTTTGTAACAGCGTTACTCAACAATAGTCGTAACAGCATAATAATATCTTGAGTTCAAAAAACTGTAGACAATGTTATTCAAGGATTTATTTAATCTGATTTAGCTATTTTATGTGCACATTATTATATTTCATTAAACAACTGCGATGCGAGCGACTTGATTAGATTAAAAGAAATATTCCCGTTGCGATACTATCGTTAATACGTTCATCATGGTTTTTTTTTGTTGAAACTTTTTTATTAGTAATAGTATAGACTATAAAACAGACGAGAGAAAATGAGTCATGCAAACGAGATCAAAACATAGTATTGTGAAATTACCCTTTACAGTATAATTTTTTTTAGATATAAGTAGAACAGTACAACTTGTGTTGAATCATTTCTCATAACAGGATTAACAATGTCTGAAATAGCTGCTAAAGATATTGAAAAAATAGTTTCAACGAGTCAGAAACGTTCGTTAGAAACTGATGAGGCTGATTTTAAATGTAAAATGCTAAAGCATTCGGATAATCACCTTTTATTAGGCTCTGGTGATAGCTGGTATGAGCGAAATTTTTTCACGTCAAATGAAGCACAATCTATTCTGGATGAATTAAATGAACAGGTTGAATTTTTACCACGTGATACATTTAAATTTAAAATATTTGGACAAATAAATTTATTACCAAGGGATAAAGCATTCTATGGAGATGTTCACGAAAAAGATGGAAGTTATCCATTGTATCGATATGAAGCGTCAAAAGATGCTGAATATCCACAAGTAAAGCAATGGACACCTGTTCTGCAACGTTTAAGAAATATTTTATTAGAAAAGACTGGACAACGATGTAATCATCTTGTTGTCAATCAATATAGAAGTGAACACCATTTTAACATTATTTCTTACTTCGATTAGCTTATTGTTTCTAAATTTTAGATAATAATGATCATATTGGTTATCATGTTGATAAAACTCGTGATTTTGTTCAAAACGCCAGTGTTCTGACATTATCATTTGGTGAAAAACGGCTATTTCGTTTGAAAAATATTCGTACAAAAGAAATTCAAGAGTTGAGGTTGGATTCTGGATCACTGTTTGTTCTAGGACCCAAAACAAATTCAGAATGGAAACACAGTATTATTAAATCAGGTAAACTATGTGGACGACGTGTAAGTCTTACCTATCGTACAATAAAAACGATCAAACATAAAGATGGTACATTGACAGAAACAGATAGCAAAGGACATTTGACCGACGGGACCAGTGAAGATGGAAAAGTAAAAGAAGAATAAAGTAGTTAAAGGATGTGACTTGCCTGAAATAAAATTGGTAAACATTAAAAAGTTTATCTTCGCATTTCTATTTTCATTGTTGATTTTTTGGTTTACTCTCGGTGAATTACTTCAATAGATTTCTTCATCTAATCCATGTACATGTAAAAAGAAAGAAACTTTATTTTTAAAAAGCCGAATAAAGCAAAAAAGAAATTGGCATAATTAATCACGCATAACAAAAAATTTAAAAAAAGTGCAGAAATGATCCTGGTTTTTTTAACATCTTTTGTATTGATAGTTTTGATTCTGTTCATAATAAAGACGTAATAAAGACTGAAAAGTGGAATAATCAAAATCGAAACTGCACATTATTTTGAAAAACAAGTTTAATCAAAGCTGCCAATAAAAACATGCTCGAATAATTCTACTTATTTTTCCGGAATCAAAAAAAGTTTGTTTGCAAGAAAAATAATAAATACAAATTAATTTAACATTTCTGTCACCGATTCCAAAAATTTATTGTTTCTGGGTGTTAAACTATATCGATTTTCTGATGTTATTGATAATTTTTGTCGACTAAATATTGGTGGTAATATTAATTTGTCTCTTGTGTCACTGTCATCATCAAATGATGAAGATTGAGTAAAATCTGGAATATCCGAATGTTTTTTCGATAGGTGATATTGACTTCCGACTGTACCATAACTGAATATGTCTTCAAAATTTGGTATATTGATGTTCTACAATGAAAAAAATTGCTTCTTCAAGAACTTCATAAACTGATTAAATTACCACATACATAAGTAGCTAATACTGCATATGGTGTATAGTGCACGCCGCCTTTGATCAACTGTTTTCCATCAACTTGACTAATATTATTTCGTCGTTCTTGTCGATAAAATTTTTGCTGCGTAAGAGCTCGTTCAACTGTTAATCCTAGCAATGTTGTCTACAAAAAAAAAGAAACATAGAAATTCGACCAGTAAAGTCTTTCTATTATCAACCTGTCCTGCACTAGAGGTTTTTCTTCTATTTTCCACTAGTTCTCCAGAATCCGAAATGGTATATAATGCTGGTGAAATTACACTAATTTGCTCTATCTTGAATAACATAAACAAATAATGTATAGTGTGATACATGCAAAAAAAGAAACTGGAATACTTTTGGTACTTCGATTGAAACTTTTTTCTTCACCAGGTGTCCTTCCGATATTTCTTCCTTTTCTTGACGTGTACCGTGGTCTAGAGGAAGTTCGATATTTGGTTTTCTATATGTATAAACATCTAAAAATGAAAGTTTCGATACGCATGTTGGTGATGGATGAAAAGAAATCATATACCTGCTTCTTCTTCAATATCCCATAAATCCCGTTGTCCAAATATTCCAATTTCTTCCCCGTTCATTGTCCATACTCTGGCAGTATGATCGGTCGATGATGTTATCAAATATTCGCTTCCTCTATAATCAATCCATTCACAACTAATAATTGCTGCATGATGTGCTTTAAATTTGCAGAGTAGAGGCGGTTTATCACGAATTATTTCACTCGTTGCTTGTTCAGGCTTAGAACAATAGTGTTCAATATTCCATATTCGAATTTGACCGCATGTATCGCCACAGATCAATCGCTTATTCGTATGATCTGTACTCAAAGCCAGTATGGATTCGCCCTCTTTCGATGAAGCGTAGAAATAAGCCATGTTCTTCTTCTCCCCGTACAAAGACCAGCAATATAAATAACCACCTTCACTAGAGAAAAGTACACCTAATTTCATATTTTCCTTTGCACGATGTTTTAAAAATAATAATTGATCAACTGGTCTCGGTTGTTCGAGAGACAATTTTTTGTTTTTGACATGACTGGAACTGGATCGTTGCCGACTTTTAGTTAAAGTATCTTGTCCACTAACCACCGATTTTTTTCTATAAATAAAAAGATAGTAATAGCGATAACTGTTGTCTTACTAGACTGATATAAATATTTACATATCTGATTTTGACGATTTTCTTAGACAAATAATTAATTTCTCTGTATCAACACTCCAAACGTTAATCTCCCCATCATAACTAGCTGTACACATAATATTTGGTGATAGAAATTCACAACATAATATATCGTCTTTATGAACTTGTGAACCATTCCATGTTAAATCTGGTTTTGGGATAGACATCTATAGAAGAAAAAAAAACGTCTAGATCTGTATCATTAAATTTTGAACCAATAGATATACGTTATTCTACTGGCAAAACACAATCTGACAGGTGAATTTAAAAGAACACGTGGTGTGTGGTTGTTAAACTACAAAACTCGTCTATTTTTTTTCCTTAGATGTGCATAAAAGAATATATCCTCACACTCTGATACCTTCTTCTTATATCATCTAAAGTAAATTAGTATTTGATAACTATTGCTTTCAATAGACTTTGTATTTTTACCTCCGATATTATATCGGGATATTTGACAATTTTACGTGACCAACCAACCGTAATTAATCTTTTATCGATAAATATAATACCGGTAATTTCAGAATCATCTACACCTATTAAAATGTGGATATTGTGACCATTAACGGCATTCCAAATCTATAAAATTTAAGGTTTAAGTAAAGAATATTTTAAAAATAAATAATCAATTTCTTACTTTAACAATACCATTTCTAGCGCCTGTTCCAATTCTTCTACACGGTTTATCGATACTGATACATGTTATTTCTTCTCCCTCATGTGCATCAGCAATAAAAAATACTTTTCGACCACTTTCAATATCCCAAGCACTAAGACTTGAATCATCCGCACATGTTATAAGCTAAAAATGATAAAATATTTTCTAAAATATATATTTTTGAAAATAATCCAATCATTCTATACTTGTCTTAATTTTTTATTATAAACTGCACAGCTCAATGGTGCATTATGTGTTTCGGATAGTACACTATCTTTTAAACTATTATGACCCAATCGCATTAAGCATAAATAATCATTACATGCTAATACCCATGCACTAGACATAGAATCTAAACATGACTAGATAAGAAGTTTTATAATTTAATAATGGCTCATTGAAAGATTCATACCAACATTCTGGTTTGAGTTCGTATAAAAGTCGGTTGGAAATGAACCAAAATTAGGTGTTTTTCCAGCTGTCATGGGAAATTTGATAGTTACCGTTTGAATACATGTAAATTCTTCTAAATCCCATACTTTTACAACCTAAAGGTATGAACAAGTTGCATAACAACGTGTATGTACATTTAAGCACCAACTTACCGCATCTTTACTGAATGTATAACATTGTTTTAGTCGATCGTTAATTTTAACATCAATGACAACCGCCTGATGTCCCTCAAGAATTGTAATATTTTTTGATGGTACATATGGATTCCAAATACGTGCCAAATAATCAGCACCACCGGTAAGAAGAAGATTTAATGTTTTATTGTAATCGAAACATTCACAACCCTATCGAAATATATTATTAAAAATGGATCTATCTCAATATTTCCAATATCTACCTTGTATAATCGAAAGATATATGGTTTTTTAATTTTATTAATATATGAAATAACTAATGAATTTCGACTATCACCACTTGATGTAATAATAGAATTATTATGAGGTAAATACAAAATTTTACGAATATATTCGCTATGTATTTGACCCATTGAATAATATCGTACGTATTGTTCATGATCTTTCAAATCCTGAACGGCAGGGAACATGAATTATGTATACTGCATAATAGAATGATTAAGATAATATAATACCTCCCAAAATATGCGTTTTGCTTCATCATCTATTTTTTCTGATTTAGATGTATCCGATTTTTTTCTTACTGGATCAAACAGAGTATTTATCGGATTTTTGAAATATAATATATGAATATAGCCACAATCATCGCCAAACATCAATGCTGACTCACCATTGGCACTCTCAAAGACATAACTGTGATTATGACAAAACTATAAATACATCATCATGTATTGGTCACTTACTTTATTACTGGTCTGATAATCTAAACATGTCGGCACATTCTTAAGACCTAAAAATGAACAAATTAATTTTACATTAAGAAATTATCAAATATATTATATTCAACTTACCAAATAATGAAAATTCTTCTAGAAATGTTT